CATACATGGACTATAATCTATCCGCTGCTTTGATCGATATGGATATTATAAATTTGAACAAAGGCTGAAATTTCTGCCATAAACTACCATCTATGCGCTAAAAAGTGCAATTCAAATGTTTAATTACTTTGTCATACACATTTCCAGTACCATGTCCGATTCTAGAAAGCAACATTGGTTCAAAACGACGGAAAAGTATGCTTGATGTGTTTGAGATTTTGTTTTCTGCTGCAAGAATACATATTTCATGAAGACTAGTGCCGGAGTGATACAAAGCAGAACCATTAGGATGTACCCAGTTTACCAAAAGTGTAGATGTAACATGCAGAGCACGCTGAAACAAGTTTTGATTTAATATGTATGTTGTTACAGTAATTTCATATCTGTTTTTGATGAGGATTAATCAACACTTCCATGTGACATCAGTGAATAATAAATTCACTTGAAAAATTTTAATCAAAAAACTAATTCCACACAAAAACAATATATTGAGTCTTACTTCAATCTTGCGCACTAAAACTAGTAACAACCAATAAACTTCACGAGTAGTCTTGCAAGATCTTAATAGTTTCTCTAATTCTTCATCACCTGCAAGTCACTTTTCCTCTGCTAAGTATTAACTAAAAGATTTTTCAAGAGCAGAGTGAATGAAAACAAAAAGTGATAAGGTAAATATGATAAAAGTACTCATTTCATTTTCTGTTATTTTACATAAGGATTCATTGACATCAAAAAGAGACAGCTCGTGCTTTACCACAGCTGGATTTCGTTGTGCAACTTCTTCAGCAAGTTTCATAATTGACTGATTAGAACTCTACGAAAGTTTCATCATAAACGAACAATGAAACTACAAAATATCCAACAACCTGATACTTCTGTTACAGCGTCACAATAGTTCCATTACCATAAATAAACACCAAATCTGTGAACACTCAAAAGACTGTGGCTTTTTAGGAAATATTTCTACATTAATATCTTAAATGATTAGCTTAAGAGGGCCATTCTGAAGCATAGTGAATTCTAGTAGAAAAAGGCCTTCGAAAAAATTTCCAGTACTCATTGACTATTCAATTAATTAAAAAACAGCATAATTCCTACTTTAGCATCGGCTTGTAATAATTCCTGCTTTGTGTTTGGCGGAAGAAATAAAGCTCGACAGACTTTCGATATAATCCGCTTCTGTAAAGTTTACTCGCATGAAGGAAAACTCGAGACACAAACACTAACCTACTCATTTCTAAATTTTCAACTTGCTGAAGATCTTACTTCCGGCTTTATTCTTGGAACGATAAAGAACGAACCGACTTCATGCGAAATTTTCTCCCATCCAATGAATTTGCCATGATACGCAAAACAGGGTAGAAGTTGGCAACTTCATTTGAGTATTTTGAAGCATCAGCGGACCACTTAGTCATTAAAGCTTTCATGACTCTTTCTTTACCAAATTTGTTCTTAGACGGTATCTTCTGCATGCGATCCAAGTATTCACATAAAGTTGCATACTTGAAATTTTGTGAGATCTCCTTTTCTAAATCATTGCTTGCAGCACTTTCTACTTCTTTTCCTTCTTCTGAATTGATACCAATATCATTGTCGTCTTCTATATCACTGTTTTCGGTATCAGACATTCAATGAATATAGCCTTAAATTTATTCCACTCAAGTTTTGAATACATTTATTTACATAGAGACCGTCGAAGTGATATAAACTTAACAATAAAAACGAACAAAAAAATCAGGTTCTCAAAATACTGCGCTCAGCCCAATTATTATTCCACACGTTTTAAATGACATTCTGAATAATTGGATATAAAATTAATAATGCTTCCATCAACAAAATATCTTATACACATCATTTCATCAAGAACAAAGTATGGTCAGGAGCGACTGAAACATTTGAGGGTTGTTTTAATATGCTGATTTGAAATGGAAAATATTGATCTTTGTCATGCGAAAGGCCTAAATGGCAAAATCTATTGAAACCCCATGAAAACAAATTGTCCATATTTGAAATAGCAAACATTGAAGTGTTACCAGCATATATCTTCTTAACTTTACCGGAATCACCAGGACCACCACTGAAAAGGTTATGTTCTAAAAGTGCTGGCCTTCGAAGAGATGTTATACTGGGACCCATTCCTAGAATCCCATAGCCCCAAACATAAATTTCGCCATTACCACTCAATGCCATACAAGAAGTCGCCGTTGAATCCGCCGCTACAATTTTCTTTACAGAGAGACGTATTTCACGAGGGTAACCGCTCTGAATTTCTTTCGTAAATGGATACATCTGTTCGTATTCGTTCTGTCCCCACATGAAGAGGTTACCATTTCTAGTTACAGCCATTAATGTATCGGTGCTTCCTTTCACAGTTTCAACCTCGACATGTTTTAAATCACCTTCAACTGGTAAACAATGCCAGTCGCAGTTGCATATTCCACGCCCCAATTGTCCATCAGTACCAAGACCGAACGAAAATACTTGACCAGACTCTAAAATGATAAATGATGTATCCAAGGCACAATGAACCTGAGCAACTTTCGAATCTGAAGGTATAGGGATTGGTTGAAATGGCTTATTTTCTAGTCGAACAAATGGCATTTCTTTGGGATCCTGTCCGCACTGCCCATGAGCATTATCCCCAAATGCATATACGCCTGATTCTGATGCAATTAAAAAATGCCTTCTACCAGCTGCAACACCTTTAATGCGACCAAATTGCTTCTCTTTATTGTTACCATTTAAGCAAATACCTCTGCTCCAATATTCACTGTTTTCTAAGCTGTTGCTAAAAATATCAACGCCACCACCATATAGTTTATGCTTGGATGCCAAAACTGAAAAACCGAACCCTGCTGCAACGTGAACAATATTTCGTGAATTGAAGTACAAGATTTGTTGCGGTTTTTTGAACACTTTTAGTTCTGTTTCTCGCAGAATTTTTGTGAACAAACTTCCGGTTTTACCAAAGCCACACCCATAAATAAAATTGCTTCTTTTAGCTTTACGTCTAATCAATGCCATACCTTCTCTTACTGCTGCTGATTTCATTACTCTGAAAAATTTAACTGAAATCAGAAAGAAAATTATTTCACAAAAAATACTAAAACAAGACGTAATATTTCAAAATTGATCAATATGTGAAATATACATCGTTACCAATATGTTCGTAGATGAAAGTTGATTTGTGAATAGGCCAAATACTACTTACATTTTACTCCCAGTCTTATATCACTCATTATTTTCCTTCACTTAAGTAAAAAAAAATAAGTCAATTTCCATTTAAATAATATAAAACGTAAGTTCAAGTCAATTACCAAAGTAAAATTAACAAATTTAAACAATATTTAAAAATTTATTTTGGTGCTAAAAGTTGACAAAAAAATGGCCGATTAATAAAAGCGAATTCTTATTACGCATTTTCCAGTCGTGAAAACTGAGGTAGACTTAATTAGTTCAAGATCAACTTATACATTAAATAACGCTTGCGGGAAAACTCTCCGTTTGAGTGAGAGCTGAAAAGCTTACAAAAAAGTATGCATCCTGAAATATATATTAAAAAATATGTATAATGAATCACACTTTTTAAAATTTTTCACAGCAACACTGCAGTCGTAGAGAATGCTTAATTCATACAAAAAATCATGGTAATGAGAATCGTCATTGGCAGCATCAAACAATTATTTCTATAAATAACAATGATAATTCGCACCTAAGAAATGACCAAGCATAAACTTACATTATTTTGAAAAGATAGAACTATAAAAAGACATCATACTTGGGAACATAAAAATTTGCAGCATTTTATGTTAAGATTTAACGCTAACCACGGAAAAGCGTTATATAGTGATTCACAAATCCATTGAAGAGCGTCACTTCATTTCAAGTGATTTAGATATTCCTGATATTTGGGAGTGCTTCTGTATAACTATATAATATCTTTTCAAATATCTTTTATAAGTTTCATTGCCACTTTTTTTATTGTTCACACTGGAGTTTAGTGATCTTTCAAGTTATGAATCTCAATTTTTAATTTTAATCAGTTATAGTCAAACAGGCTCATCACTTGTATGGAAACGCATTTGACTTGGATTCACTTTTCATCTGGCAACGACTGGCTTGATGTCAGCGTGTTTAGATGATATTTACTTATGTTTATTAGTTATTTTGTATACAAGTTCTAGATTGTTTGTAACAATTGTGTTGCTTAAAAAGTAAATAATATATATCTTAAAACTTCAAATCGTTATCATGGAGAAATAAATTTGACTTATGTCATGCGTTTATAACAGATTATCACTTGACATGTCCAAGTTCTCATTGGGTTCGCATTTTGAAATTTCCAAGTGTAAAACTGCAGTCTTGCTTCTTGTCTTTACATTTATTTTTATACTCTTGTATGTTTTGTTTTTTTTGTACAGTATACTAGTTACAGGACAAAAGTAAGAAACGAATAAAAGCCATAGATATTACTATATATATATATAAATATATTTTTGCTGTAAATAAACATCTATGGCTTGATGCATGATGGAACAAGCAGATGACTCGTACATCAGTGAGCATGAACAACGCTTCTACCATTTTGTCCGTCAGCATATCGTAAGTGGAGTAGCCAAAGAATGACTGTTTTGACTGTAGTTTGTAGGAATTTTCACGCTAATAACTAACTGCTAAAATTATTTTTACTGTCTCGTTTTTTGTGTTTGTGTTGTGAAAATTGAAAACCTTCGTTTTGTAAGAAAAAAATTAAACAAAAAGGCAATTTTTTTTGCATATTTGCACTTTTTTCTGTTTTTAGTCCCTCGTATCCAACAGATAGATAAAACTTAAAAATGAAAGTCATAAATATATAATCTTTCAGATTTGCTTTCTTTTGTTTATCTGCTTATATTTGATTTCTTATTCGATCATTCGACTTTTGAAAGGCCGAAGCGATAATGATGAGATGTATGCTGGTGGCGAAGATTTTTTTGTTTTTCGAATCTCGTGAGTTGCAATTATTGAAATTGTCTGAATATTTATTAGTTTGTAATAAAACGCTTATTTTTATTTATTTGCTGTAATTTTTTCTAGTTTGTGGATGTGCACTTGGTCCTTAGCGGTGTCGATGGGAGCTGCAACATTATTACCATTTTCTGTAATTGGATCCGAAATAATACAAGCTTATCCCGGCAATTATTATTTTCAGTGGCTAAATTGGCCTCTAATTCATTCATTGTGGCATTATATTTTTGCTTTAAGCAATCTCTCGCTGTTTATACTTCTTCCTTTTGCTTACTTCTTCATTGAATCTCAAGGATTTAAGGGCCAAGGGAAGGTAGTGAGTTTTTTGTACCAAATAAAGCAGTAACAATCGTTTATATAGGCTGTTGCAGGTTTTTTCTTTAATGTTTCAGTATCAGTTTCATTTAAATTCACTGTAATTTGTTTTTAAAAAATTTTCTTTTTAGGGCATTATGACTCGGGTATATGAAACTGTTGCTGTCTGCATACTTCTCATTATTGTTTTAATATGCTTTTCTGATGTCATTCACTCTCTGTTTCTTGTAAGGTTTTCATTTTTCTTTTACTAGTTAGAAACATTTTATTGCCCTTAAAAATCGTTTTCAGCTAGAGGGTCACAGTAATAATGTAATACTTACTCTTTTCGTTCCTATTATGTTATTTTTAGACAGAAAGTGCTTCGATATCGTTATCTATACTCAGTTTTACGTCTGTTAATTTGCCGTTTCTATATTCTTGTGTATCCTTGCTTGGAGTACTAACATTGCTTATAACAACGCCCATAGGTAGCAGTTTGTTTTCACTGTGTACTGTTTTATAAATCAGTGCAATAATTTATGCAAAGTTTGTATTGTTTTAAAAGATTTTGAATTACTAAATGTGCTATTTCCCGTTTTGTTTATTGTTCTAGGTTTGGCTAGAATGTTTACGGTAGTGTCAAACCATATCTTAGCAACAAAACAGTATAAAATTGTTGATCCATTGGAAGAGAAAGTTTTCCGATTAGAGTATCAGACTCTTAAAAGAAGATTGAGACGAAGTGGTCAAGGGGATTTGTCACCTCCAGATCCATTTCTACCGCAAAAACCACTTCGTGGCTATCAAGTTATTCTTCAGACAGTAAAATATGTGCTTGCGATTGTTGTTTTACTTTTGTTAACAGTACGTTATTTTATAAATTTTTTTTGTCAAATGCCTTTCGTAATTTAGTATTTTTTTTCTGTGTCCACTTTCAGTGCAGTAGTATAACAAAAAATTGCATGTCTTTTTTTTAGTCAATCACCGTACTCATGGTTTTAATTAATACATTGCAACTACTCTTCGGTTTTCGAGCTTTACCTGTGTACGCTCAGTATATGGAAGTAAATTCCCGCCACACATTAGGAATTTTTGGGGCTGTTATCGAAGTTATCATAATCTGGTAAGGTATTGATATTTATAAGAGGATGCGATATATAAATATTTTCCATTTTTTGAAGTTACATCTTCTTTATTTTAGGTATATAATGATCGCTGCAATGATTGGAGTTTATTCTGTGCCGTTGTTAAGAAGGATTTGCCCTGAGTTTCATAAAACATCAATGACTTGCATAATTGCCAATTGTACTACTGTTTTGGTGCTCAGTTCGGCACTTCCGGTACTGGCAAGAACACTTGGTTTGTTTCAGCTGGCTACCTTAATTTTTAGCCCAAAATTTAGTGCTTTTTTTCACTTGATGTTCTGAACATGCTTAATTTTGAAAAAAATTCAGGTATTACTACATTTGATCTAGTAGGGGCATATGGCAGTTTTATGTGGTTGTCAAATTTCACGTTAGTGTGGACTTATAATGTTGCATTTGCTGTTGTCACTGTTTTCTGTCTCTTTAATCATTTTACGACACCAGTTAGACGTGAATTAATACAAAGGTATAATGGGAGCTACTTGAAGTTCTTGTACATAGTCCTTATCTATTTGGCAGACTGAATTTGGAAGATTATTTCTCGTAAATTTATTTGCATAACATAGAATTTTGATTGCTGTCAATGAAATTTATAATGCGAGCAAATTAAATTTTCCATTTTTTGCGTAGTAGAATGTCTATCAGTTTTGAGTGAAGAAGAAGGCATTAAAGGATGTCTTTGATATGTCGGAAATAGTGTTACTGTAAGTGTCATTTTAGGATTCGCGATCTTTCTTATCGGATAAAAATGACTGAAGCCGTTGATAAAGTGGACTAGTTTGTGGCAATTTTTTTCACGGATTGTATGTAATATACATATCATATATTCTGGATCTCAGCACAGAGCTTGAAGTTACGAAGCCAAAAATTATAAATTATTAGTTAATTGTTTAACATATTTAGCGCTGTAGTTATCACTACATATCTGTGTACAGTTTTAACCTTAAATTTGAGCTCATTTATTATAAGTTTCCTAGTCTTTTAATAGCTGGATTGTCAATAATTTGATGACTTGAAGAAAGCCGCATTTTGCATGACGCACCTTTTTTCCTTCAATGAGACTGTGCAGAGCAAAAGGACAAATGGTAGAAACTTTCGAGAAAGTAAATGAAAAGAAATAATCAAGTAATTAAACAGGAGCTCATTCCAGTAGTAATCTTCGTTTTGTGTAGTTGCAATATACCTTCTACCGAGCCAAAAATTAGTGTCATCTTTTTTTGCGTGGGAAAGAGGCATTAAGCTTTAATATTGGTGATTTCAGATTATTTTTCAAATTTGTTCTGATCCTGTTTCCACTTTGTCAGAATCATCACATTGATCATCATGTATATATGTAAATTGTGAACTCGGAAATATCAGACCTCAAGAGTTTCAGGCTTTTTTTGTACATTAACCATAATTGTAGAGCATATGTTCGTGGGATTGGAAACAGTTCTGATCCTGTTTCCACTTTGTCAGAATCATCACATTGATCAAATAAAAAGCATGATGAAATTAAAACTACAGGGAGAGGAAGTCAGTATAAAGCCGTACATCACAGAACTTTCGAACAAATTGTTTTTCGTGGTAAAGAAGTGCCGTCTGAAAGTTGTGTGATGTTTAACTGCATGCTAACTTTCTTCCACTGTTGATTTTATTGTGAGTATAAAAATTTTATGATGTGATGAACGCATAACTTGTTGTGGCAATTTTTCTATAGAGTCTATTCTGAATTCAGCATGTGATTTGTTTCAAAAATTAACAATAGCTAGACATGAATTAAAAGGTAGATTGGAGTAATCATAGTTCATTTTATTAACTAAATCAGTGGGACAAACAATTTAGGGAGGGATTTCTGAGTAGCATTCCTGGTTTTGGCTTGCTAAACAAATTAGAAAGAAAGGAGTAATTCTTTGTGGCACTAGAAGTTTTTCTTTTATTCATTCAAATAAAAGACGGATCTTACCCCTTCATAGACAATATTGTAGACTTTACTGTTGGAGCATTGTTCTAATATCGAGGGTCCGATCGTATTAAAGACCGAAAAATGTAGCTTGAAGTTATAATATATATGTAGTATTATTTTCCAATGTTTCACTTTAAAATTGCATAATTCAAATAACTATTATTTGATGGCTTAGAGATGCAAGCTAACAAATGTAAGAGATCAAATATATATTAGCAATCCAATAAGTATTATAATGCTGTTTATGTTTAAAGGAAATAATTGGAAAGAATTTATGATTATTGTAGCAACAATATTGTGAACTGTAACGCAGTAATGAATAAGATTGCTAATATATATTTGATTTCCTTTATATATATTATTTAGATTAAAAACATTTAACGTTTATAATTTAAATAATACTGAAATACCAATCATGTGAAACATTCACACACCTCTGCAAATGATTGCGTATTATTTGAAATGTCTGTGCATAATGTAAAAATCAGGCTAATCTTTTGCATTTAAACATAGTACTGTATAATGTGAGATGCAGAATAATAACTATTTTGCAGTAAAAGTGAAGTATCAATATTACTCTATTCAATCACTTTGCATTCTAAGTAAATGTCTTCACATCATGACAATGATATTGATAACAAACATGACCGACATGGATCACTTCACCATCTTATTCATTTTCAGCTTCAAACAGAGGAGTTTTTCAGCAAGCACTTTTGGTGGAGCTTTTCTTTCTCGAATAAAAAGTGCGTAACGGTGATTAAAGCTTCACTTTTCTTATTACTTATTCACTAACTCAATTATGTACTTGTAAAACTGTTGTATTGAACGTTGTTATTGTATGTTTGTTGGGCATTTCAGTTAAAATGAACAAGTTAAACAGTACGAATATTTTATCTCACTTCGAACTAACGACATTATTGGAAATTTCTTTATAAATAATTTAAGTTAAAGTATTTCAGTCATCAAGTATTGGTGTTTTGTTTTGAAAACAATCAAAACATTGCCTTGTGATAAAAGATGTGCACACAGAATCATTTCTTGCTTTTTTAGTTTAGTCGTTTTTATAGTTTTTGCCTTACTTCTCGAAAAATAAAACATTCATTGCTACTTCTGAAGAGTTTCTCCTCAAATTGAGTACACAACAAATGTACTAAGGCTGCATTTGCTCGTGTGAATCGTGTTGCCATTAATTAGTGTAATAATCGCAATTAATCATTACTGTAATAGTCAACAATATGGATTCAATGTGCAAAACAAAGCATTGCTTACCTCTAGCAAAAAAAGAATCAATTTCAATTCTTTGACTACTTCTATTCTCCTCATTAAAGTTTAATTCTTTTATTTGCTACAAGTTCTAACTTCAAGTTATGCGTACAAGCAGCACCAACTAAACGCTATCACCTGAAAATGTATCAGACCAGTTTTCAGCCTTTACAGTTTTGGTAATATTTGCACTCATTTTGAACATCTTATGACCTGTAAATCTTAATAAATTAACACAAAATAATAGTGACAGAGAGTTGAAATTCTTTTTTCAATGATTTATATCTGAAAATGACCCTTTAATAGTTGCTTGCTTCGGTTCCTTTATTTCCAGCACTTGTTTTATTTCTAATCCTCACTTACTCAATGAGTTTGAAAGAAAAATATATTTATGTATTGCACAGTGAAATCAAGATTTCTAGCACTAAAAATTAGCAATTTTTAATGCATAACTGCATTTTTCGTTCTTAGCTTGCAAGATAATAATTATGTATAATATATAATATATAAATATCATGCATTTTCATATCGTATGCTGTTATACTATGAAATTGTGCTTATTTAAGAATGACTTTTGAATATTTTCAAACAAAACATCAATATTTAGTGACTAAAATCGTTAACTTAAATTACTTATGAAGAAATTTTGAGTAATGTCATTATTTTGAAGTAAAATAAACTATCGATCTTATATTGAAAAGAAATTATTGCAACAGTTTACTTTTGATGGATTATTGATCTTTTCAAATCTTATACAAAGCAAATAAGTGTAGAGATAAAAGTGTGAAGAGATTTCCTCAGTGATAAGTAATAATACTGTATAATTCTAATTATATCAAAAATGTCTACAGATGTAATTAAACAATAAATATTATACTACTTGTTAATTATGGACTTAATACTTAAGACTGACTTGATATTCTACAATGATAAGTAAGAGTTACTGAGTAGTTGTTGATCTAAACGTTAGTAACATATGAGTTGGCATGAAGGAATGCGAAGAACAAAAGTGAAAACGAAGCAGGAAAATGTGCAATGAATACTTGGAAGAATCAATGGATGAAGAACAGTTGCAGAAGCTAATTTCTTCCCTTTGCATTTTATCCAAGGATGGATCCATCCCGTGTAATTACAATATTCCTCTTTGTAATATTAATAATAATAATAATAATAATAATAGTAATAATAATAAACGATCATAATTTATTATCATTATTACTATTATTATTTATTATTACTGCCATTATGTTTGAGTAAGATTAATACCATAACAAATGATAATAATAAATTGTAATCTATTTTTATGAGCGCTAAAACTTTTTCTTACTCTCAAACATTCGCCCGAATACTTTTGTTCATATATTAACTACTATCAAATATTTCTTCATCCATACACTGCTTTTTTTTTAAATAAAGTCTATTAGTATTATTTTATTTTTATTCTTCACACAAACGATTAATTCTTTGGATAAATTATTTGAATAATTTTATGTGCAAAAAAAAAACTCGAGATTTTATGCACAATTTATACGAGATCATCAAGTTCCTTCAAGCTAAGCATAAAGTATAAATAGTTCGCAGATTACTTTCAGTTCAAAAATTTTTTGGATAGATAAATTATTTTAGACTAAAAATAAATGAGTGATAGAAATTATTCCTTCTACAGTACATACGTTCACTGTATTGGTAAGCGCTGCGCCATGCGAAAAGTTAGCCCATCATCTCCATCAACGTTGGCTTTCAGAAGCAAACTTTACAAAAATCGCTGCGCGCATCATTTTGCATCACCAGCATGTAAGATTAATACCACAATTGTATTATTTTATTTAATAAGGCAAGTTAAGTAAGAAGGGCAAGTCAAACTTGAAACTAATAGATTACTTCTAAACTTCACATAAATGTACAACAAATAATGCAAAAATTTACTGCAATAACCTTACTTTCAAATTTTAGGTATTAAATATTTATAATTATTTTTCAGATGCACGAAACAGATCTTGGACTGTTTTCATGCTGTTTAGGGCACGTCCTGTCAGATTTCCAATTTAGACAGCAAATAAGACAAGAAAATAGACTCGTTTTCAGGTATGCTAATCAACAATTAATACTATCAGTTTTTGCAGACGTTCTATCAAATTTTGATTGCAGAAACAGTGTTCGTGTGATGTTTGATTTCTATCCCGTGTACAAACAGATAGATGCCACTGTTAGTGAATGCTTGGTAGAACCAATATTTACTTCACTGCGAGAATTAATCAACGATGATCCTGACGAGAAAGACATCGAAGTAGTCATTTACTTCATCCACTGTCTCTTTCAGGAATCAGTGCATCGCCAACAGAGAAAAAGCCTTAAATTACTTTATTTCAGGCTGCCGCTGAACTTATCATCGACTATGGCAATGTTTTAATGAAAATTGAGCCCGATAAATGTAACAATTTTATTACTGCATTACGAGCACACTTATGTGACAGCCATCTAAGTTCCATTACACGACGATTGATATTACAAGTTTGCCTCAGACACCTATAACATTTGTTGTTTTAATATTTTAAAAAAAATATTAAATATTACAAAGCAAAATTTACTTCACTGACTTGACTATTCAATAATTTTGACAATTAAATGATTTCAAGTTTTCATTATGCTCAAAATGTGCCTTACTATATACATAGAGAATGTGATCCTTAATCCATGACAACATGTATATGTGATGTTACTACCCATATAGTATACCACACACCAGTACTGGAAATATTAATTGCAATAAGGAATAATAATAACTCTTTGAATTCGAGTTCATAACTATGGATAAACTTGTCTAAAATCAATGATTCTAGGAATATTCATATCTTTCACTTTATTTGCAGGCTCTGGACTTTTGGACATACAAATGGAATGATGAGAATTTTCCCTTTTGCATCAAACAATTCAATGAGACATCAGCTCAGATAAGAAAAAATCCTAAAGAAACATCACAAGTGCCATCACAAAGCATCACAGACAAAAATGATCATCACGCTGTGTAGATTTACAAGATTGCATAATGTACAAGGGATCAACGTGTTCCGTGCAAAAAGTTAATAATGCAAATGACTACTATTTATTTGCTAAATGTTTATAGATTATGAGGAGTTTTTTAGATTTGAGAATTATTGCTTGAGACCACCGTCATAAAAGACTAATATTTCATCTAAAAATATTATACCGAAAGAAGCTGAAATAAAAGATGAAATCTGATTGATAAATAAAGTGCAAAACATTATTTTTCAAGATGAAATTCCTTATTAACATTTTGAAATCGGTTCTTGTCCTGCTTTTACTAAAACCAACCATAAATATGATCAACCACTACGATCAAATAAAATAGCTCTCATCCTGCTTTCCGTGAAATGGAGGTACTTTAAACCATTCATCATCAAACTCAATCCGTTCTGATACAGTGCGAATGATTCTCGATGAGCCAAAAAAATCAGTAACTCGGACTTTTCTTGGATCCTAAATTAATTACCATTTTCAATTTACCGCTGAATAGGTTGAATTTACTTGAATCTTGAGCACACAAAAAAGGACTAGACCGCATATTTTCAAGTGATCTGTTTTTACTTATAAAATGAAAAAATAACTGCTTGATTATTTGAATGTTTTCAATATTTCTACCACGACTAATTCCGCTTTCTCTGGCGAGAAATCATTCAAACCAACGAGATGAAAAACATCTCATTTGTCATATCAATTTTGTAACTTATTAAGGCAATACAACACGCAGTGAAAATAGCAGTGTGCAATGTAGAAAAAAACAGGAATATATTGATTTGATTATACCTTTGGATACAAATCAGTACGTACGCCAACTGTAGAAAGACACTTCGATTTAGGACAGGAATTGAAGTAATCAGTCATAGATCGATTTGTGGAAAGCGTCTGAACCTCATTTTCAAGAAATTCAAGCGTGAATTGAGTGTATCTATCAATGATGTATACGCCAATCGATCTTAAACATCAAATTTAGCTGTAATATTGCTTGGTAGTGCAAAAATTATGCATTTCACAATGAAATGGCATGCAACGTTAAATAAGTGTGAGCTTGACACATATTTAACGAAAAATTCTACTCACTGATCAACGTCATAAGAAAGAGAATCTTCGCCAACAAGAGAGCTACTAGTTGCAAGCACATTAGGGCTATATATTTTTTGATACATCGATTCACTCTGACATGTATCTGCTATGACCAACATTTCGTTATATCTGTGATATAAAAATGCATTTTAATCAAAGATTTCTGATATAGCCTACTGAACATCTTAACAAAAATATGCAAGTTTTTTTTACATATAATGAGAATAATTCGAGAATTATTGAAATGTAATTGCATTTTCGAATACATACTGCTAAATATTTATCACTTGCATCAAAGCGTATAGTTCTTTCAGACAAACTTTAACAAAAATGCGTTAAATAAACTTGGTATCGTTTAATGAAAGGCATATTTTTTAAACACAAACCTATTGCCTTGATACATTGTTTCGATAGCATCTGCTAGATCAACATTCGTCAGTTCCTCAGAATCTTGGAACTTTAAAAATCCATCACCACCATGTCCAGTAAGATAAATTAAAACATTACTTTGGTGATCAGTAAGTAAACGCTTAGAGCGTGGAGTAGATGGATGAACTCTTCCTGTCATAAGGCGAACAAAATTTTCTACTGATACCTTAAATGCCATATTACATTACAAAACATTTTACAAGCTTATTTAGGTGAGTAAAATTTTCAGTAAAGATCAATTGAGTAGCATAATACTTCATATCCACGATAGTCTACTTCAACATCAACACCATACAGATTGATTCGTCTATATTTGTTGTTGTATACCGTACCTTAAATAATACTATAAATTATTATACTCTACCAATCCTATTACAATTGAACCTTGGTAAAATGAAACAGTAGTCACACAAACGACATAAACAACTAGCCAGGCTTGGGATTTCTAGCATTGCAAGGCATATCATCAGCCAACATGAGTATAATATTGCTGAAATTAAAAAGTGGTTAACAAACTTATTGAGTTATTTTTTTAATGTACAGAAATGTTACTGCAGATATGTAAATTGAACAATACTTCCGAGACGTAACTAGAGATTACTAACCTGTCCGGAATTCCTAGTCTCTTGACAGAATGATATAAAGACAAAACATTGGCAACATGACGATAATTAAACCAAAAACGCGATGTACAAACTAATATTGCCCAATTATTAGTGTGCCGTGGGGTTTCAAAAAATGACTGCACTTGTCTTTGTAGAACAGATTGCTCTTGTTGTGTCACGCTAATCACCGGAACAATGAGAACTATATTCAGCAACGTCTGAAGCAACACCAGTTTTGCATATTATTTAACAATAAAAACAAAAGAATGCCTTCAAACTTTCCTACATTTACATTTGTAATCCCTCGTATTTTAAAAAATAGACATTGAATATATCCCCAGGTAACAGTGCAATTAAAAGCTATATTTTTGCTAAATTAAGTCAATAAATTATTAACAAAGATCCCACTCTATTATTTTTGTAAATTACAATTGGAAGCATGAGATTTCCAGATTTTCATTTCCCAAACTTAAGAAGACATCCACTACCATCTAGCACAAAACATCACCGACTTCCAAAATCGTACTGAACACTAACCAAAAACTCCTTCATCGTTCACAATACCAATTATTCCACCTTCAAATTTGATTAACTACACATAAAATTGATGGCCTGGAAAATGCTACAGTTCCTTCTGACGAACCGTTCTTTACTGATATTTGTTTTTATGTGCAGTTAGTATGTTAAATTCGAACCATCCAAAATATACCGGAATAAGATGTCTTGACCTTGCACACCTTATTTGTAATAAAAATGACCATTTCATAACAGATGAAAAAACTTTCGGACACTAGAAACAGTATAATTCAATCTTTTATACCAAATATTCATTCAATTCATTCACAATATTTGGAAAATTTTTAATGCAGCAGAACTTGTGAACAATGATGAATCATTTTGCAAAAAAAATGACACACAAGTATCCCACAAACAACTTCATATAATTAACAAAAGACCGATTACTTAGCACTTTCCCGATGTCCTCTTCAAAAAATATATTCTGCACAGTTCTAACTCAGCAATCTGCGTAGAAAATGAAGTTTTTATAAGTAATATACAATCAACATGACGAATGACAGTGAAACAAACAAAATAAAGTCGTAAAATTATCAAACAGTGAGATCGCTCAACCTATGCTTTGTATCAATGTGATATTATCACCTTTCAACATGATCCGTCCGACCTTATTACGATTTTTTGTTTTCATATTCACCTCTTCTGCTTCATCCAGTACCACGTTCATATATTCATCGAACCCTAAACAAAAGTATTTCCTATATTTTCGACTTTGTCTTGCATTTTTTAAAGAAAAAATTTTCAGGTGACTTAAGCATTTGAATAGGATCTGATGAACTAGGCAGTTACATTTAATTCTTGAATTTCAATATGTGAGATAAATCGCCAACATCCCTAGACGTTGTGAAAAGAGAAATGCGCTTGAATATTATGTCTAGCTTAAGTTGCATGCATTTCTACGCTTAATATGAATAACATAAAGGATACATTTAGCAGAGCGACAATGATGTTTCCTTCAGAAATACAAATAAACTTTTAACAGTCATAACTGCAAGCTACATAAGCATGGACTAAAATAATAGCGGAAAACATAAAGTGCAGACTGAAACCAGCATGTTGAAATAATAGAAGACTAAAAATTTCATAAAGACATGACTTTAGCGACTAACTAACCGATGATGTACCCTTCAATCCTGTGTGTAATATCTTCATAGAGCCATATCTGTATCCGTGATCGATTTTGCAAGTATCTGAAGATCAAATTAATAGGCTGAACCATCACCTTCTGTACTTTACCACCTCTCGCTGCCATGACGCTGAAATTTTGCACACTCTAAATTCGTAAAAAAACAAATAGCAAACACTACCGACCACCCTTACCCTTGACTGCAATATCATTTGACTTAATCTGGTTTCAACAAATATCATATCGACATCCTAATGAAAAATTGTGTCTCAATAACTGTTGTATAGGTGAGATGGTAGTGTTTAAGAAGAGTTGTAGCTATTTGAGACGGAAGTTAATTGCTTCGAAACAAATTACTGCTTGTGAGATGATCAAAGTTGAAGTTGTACCATACTATGTCTATTAGTATATTTAGATTCAGAAAAAGCAATGAATTGTCCATGTTTGTCTATGATTATAAATTATATTCAGAAAGTTTGTTCTTGTCTCATTCTTTAAGTCTTTCTTTTCAAGAAATTGTTTTTGATCTCCAGTAGTTTCGATCTTCAACTATTAATAATCCAGTGAAGTTTGAAAATTTAATCTAACCATATTTTCGTTATATTATCAAATGTCTGATTGGTTGTGAGCATAATTCAGCGGTACATATCTCTAACATCTACGGTCAAGTAAGAGGCCTTCGATATGCCTAAAAATACTTGCTGCCATTTTTATTAACTTTCATTGCAGCTATGCAGTTATTGTGTCGTTTTTTTGTGTAATATTTGATTGATCTTTTAATTATTCACTGTTGCTAAATTTAGTATTATATGACAATCCACGAAGATAATCTCGAAGGAAGTATTGCTGCATTGGATCATTATGTAGCTCCTGGTTTAAGGTTGTGGATGCTCATTGCCCTAGTTTCTGGAATATTGTTTATTATGGGTATGTTTGAAATTATACTGATTTTTCGTGCTGAAGTATTTGTTGCATATAAAATTGGATTTATTTAAAATGTGTAGTGTAGTAGTTTGATTATTGCAAACTAATATTGAAAAATTAACGTTAGTGTAGCTGTAAAACTATTTGGTGTTATTTTTTTACAGTTTGTCAATATTCGTAAAAGAAGTTATCCTCTAGAGAAAATTCAGGCTGTTCCAGAAACTACTGTTTTTAAATGTATAAAATTTTGAAATTACTTATATTTACTATGCATTTTAGTGGTGATTGTTTGCTGCTTTATGCGGATTCGTATACCTCGTACAAAACGACAAATTGATTTAATTGCCGCTCGAAGAAAAATGAGAAAGTCAAATTTGCCAACGTCATATTCATCGGGTTAAATCTTTTGTGCTGTTAGTATAATTTAGGAGAATGAGTAAATTTTGATAAAATATTGTAATGTATTTGAAGAAGAACGAGCACAACCAATTGTAATGAATACAATGAAAGAACCAGTGTACTCGAAAAGCAGTGCTCGACAAGAACTTGACGATGATATTACTGAATCTGAATCTCTTGTACAGAATATTTCAACCCATGCTACTACAACAGTTTAAATTTTAAATTAAATTATTATGGGAGAGGCATTTTTCGCTGCAATAAGTTTTGTCTAGAGAACGAATTCAATTAAATAATATTGCAAATTGATTTACTTGAATGATAATATTGCATGAATGACTAAAAGTTATTTACAGATGTGGAACTCACCAAACTTTACATTGTAGATGCACTGTCAGCAATGTAACTAGTTAATATGTAATTTTGAGGTTACGAATTTATCAAATTATAACAGTTGTGTATTATGCTTAGGTTTATGTGCTGTTCGACATTTTATTTCTTTATCTTCGCTGAGATTTATATCAGTGAATGTTTTATGTTGCTTTACATATACTTTTCTTGATCTATGCATTTCTTGTTAATTTGTTTCTTCTTAATTGAATTTAGGCTTATATTTTTTTAAATTTTCCGATTATTGTTTTGTTTATTTCATGTTACTTACAAACGTATATATTCAAAATTCAGTTGTGATGCCTCTGCTTTAATTGTTATTTGTGGCTTAAATATTGATGAGCTCTAGAGTATTTGTTCTATGTTCTCAGCTTTCTGCCTTTTATTGCCATATGACTTGTCATTTTATTTTACAGTCAATTACGATTCATCTCATTTATCATTTGTTGCATCGTGTTTATGTATATCACGTTGATAATTTTTCTCATTAATAAAATGCTCGACAAGCATTTTCATGATTAGAACAGCATAAATCGGCAAACATTTCATTGCTTGAGCAAGTAGCATACCTGGACTGCTAAAAGTTGAAGTCATGGTGGTATCTATAACTGGGATTAACTACCAAGTTGGTTGGGAAGTTGTATATACTAGTTTACGCAATATTTAATTGTCCTTTGCCTGAGGAGTGATTGGGTTGAGTTTGTTAGGATGGGAAGTGCGTTTAAAACTGCACTATGGTTATGTAAGTGTTGCTGCTATAGCTTTTTTGCAATTAATTTCAGGTATAAAATGCAAATTCTATAAGCAAGATGGAAAGTGACGAAAGGGAGCGTTTCATTAAACGTGTGACAAATGAACGTGAAGAAAGGAAATTGTTGAAAGCACAAGAAAAAGTTGTTACATTATTGCAGACGTTGGCGAGAGGAATGTTAGCCAGAAGAAATTTCGCTACTTCTGTGAGGTATAATGTTTGATGTATTTTTTAATCACTGAATGCCGAGTGACAAACCTGACAAACCTTGTTGTAAGAATGTTAGATTTTAAAAAATCAAAAAAAAAGCTAAATCAGAGTTAGCTAGCACTTTTTAACTTTCAACCACTGTGATACGGGATTTGTATTTTTTTACCGCGCATTACAAAAGATTTTTATCAATGTTTGCAGCATTCTCATATTTCTACGAGTTTTAATTGCAGGAAAAAAGTCTAAATTTGTGGTGATTCAGAACTTTTCAGAACTGATTTTGATCGCTTACTCGGTGCTTTCGTAGATATGGAAAAAGAAAAAAAATTAGGAAACTGCCAAGAAATGCTGAGAATAGGACGACTTTTCATTCGAATTTTTAAGCATCCATATGATAACCAGGCAAGCCTTTCATGGTTCTTAGGAATGTAATTTGATCTTGACGAATATTCATTCGTACTCGCTGAAATTATTCAGTTAAATAAAATGGTGTCAAGTCATATTTTGCTGATTGATAGAAATTCGTCAGTTCAGGCTTTAATTTCAATATCCCCATGTAAAATTTCCATTTCTCTGATGTTTTTGAAAAATTTAGTTTCTGTAGATTACGCAACTTAAAATACCTTATTTTTATAAATTCAGTTTAATTGTGTTTAAATATCTAAGGTGTTTTGATACTTCAGTTAAAGAAGCACTGGATTTGAGCAAAGGATTTTTCCGATAAACTAATCTTATTTAAAACTATTTTCTAGAGGCTTTGTCAGCTATGTCGTTGCATGATATTGAGTATGTCATCTTGCGAAGTTTACCAGTCATTTGCGTCTCTTTTGCTGTCGAAAAACTATCTTCAAGCAGCCAATCGCTTTATCATATCCATGTTTTCATTGATTACTTCTGTCACTGAAAAGCTTCAGGTTAATTTTGTCAGTAATTAAAAAATATTCTTTCAGTAAATATTTCTTCTAAAGCTTATTTTGTTATGAAACTCTAAGTGCTTTACGGCAGTACTTTATTATGTTCTTCATTTAAAAATACTTTCTTTAATTTGAAAGCAGATGCATTACTACTGATCTAAAAGTCCTCTATTTATTATATTTAGCAGAGACTCTTCATATTTAGAAAAATATGTTTCATTAAATTATCTATTAATTTGTTCTCGTTACTAGCATCCCAAAAATTCTTAAATTTTAGATCGAAAAAGTGTCGGAAGGGAAAGCAATATCGTTATTTATTCATTTTTTAATTACTTTTTCGAGTGCCAACACTTGGGGATTAGTCCGAAATAATGCAGAAATATGTAATGTTCTGAATCATTTATGTAATAAAGCACTTAATTTGGCGATTAGTGAAGAATTTCGTTACATCATCCTGTCGGTTGGTCCATTTTCATGTGAAAATAAGTATGAATAATTAGTTTTAATTTCAAGTATCCAAAAAACCTAGAACCGCAAATTTTTTATATTCAAAAATTTTCGAAAGATTATTCTGTGTGATGCAGAGTTAAAGTTTATTTTTAGCGTCTGTTGTGCAGAATGGCGTCGAACGGAAGACTTGCTCTTGGCACCAGTGCTTTTAATGGGCTTTTCAATATATTATTTCGGTAACATATTACCAATTTATACTGTTTTTCTATTAAACTTTTTATTAAGTATGAATAATTAGTTTTAATTTCAAGTATCCAAAAAACCTAGAACCGCAAATTTTTTATATTCAAAAATTTTCGAAAGATTATTCTGTGTGATGCAGAGTTAAAGTTTATTTTTAGCTGCAGTAAAGTTTTAGAATATTGAGAATTAGTGATTTTGGTTCTGGTATGCTCAATTTATTCATCAAATACTGTCTTACGTGTCCAGCATTACTGATTCATCTCTCTGGAGCTGTACGTGTGTTATTTTCATTTGTTGAAGTTAACGATTTGTTGGAGTTGTCACTTAATTTTATAGATCAAATAAGTTTCATTTCGAAGTTATTTATCTTATTTCATATACTTTTTGCAGAATATTGATTTAATGATTGAAAGTAAGATGTTCGAGAAATCAATTGCTGTATTATTAGGAAACCCATATTTGTTAAAAAATTTGAGTGGCAATGAAAGCTTATTTTTACTTGCCAATCTTATTCATTTGAGTTATCTCGATCAGCAGGTACGTTTAAATTTATATTTAGAAAATAGTTATTTGATTTCTCTGAATCATATAACTGTTTTTTAAAATATATTTTTTTTGGAATTTTTCAGAGTTTAGTGGAATATTTAATTGATTGGGCAGATGTGATGAATAAAGTGTTAATCAGATGTGACCAGTTTGTCGCAAAAAAAAAGGGAAGTCGTAGTCATTGGCATCCTATCTTTGGTTGGTACACTGAACCAATTGATCGAAGGTACTTTTAAAGTTAGCTTGATGTTATCTACAAATAGGTATCCGTTATTGTTTTCGCTTAATTTGTTTGATTTGTTTTGCATTCTGTAATAGATGGCTGTGAAATGAGAAAACACTTTTAGCAAGTCTTATAAAGGATTTTTTTTCAGCACAGAAGGTTCATTCCCCCTTATTGTGCGTCAGTTGCAATTCATGTGGTCAAAACGAATAGTCACTTGTTTATTCGGCCAAGTTTTACATTGTGATCCGGAGCAGCGACCTTCAAATCGTACATCTCAGCCAGCAAATATTATGCAAACCGATCTTGCTACCTCAATTCAAAGTTAATATTTTTAAAATTAAGACGAATGAACCGTGAATAACATGTGAATAACATTTGTTGATTTGTAACTCATGCTTAGGACAGTTTTGTGATGTAGCAAATTCAGAATTGTGGAGAAAGCTGAATTCGCTGCGTGTTGAAGCGTTAGCTAATGGAATCAGTCAAAGACCACCTCCCTTATCGATGACTGCAGTCGTTTGCCAGCTTTATCAGAATGCTTTATTAACGTTGAATTCGTTACACACTGATATTTTATCTGGTTGGCGTTTATTTATTAAATAATTGTGTGATTATCAAGTAACGGCATAAAAACTATAAAAAAGTGCAAATATTGTTATGAAAATCTACTCAGAAATGTTTTTATATTTAGTATTCAAAACTATCTGTATTGCAGGGTTATGTCGTGAGGATTTTCTTCTTCCACTTTTGTGGGAACATATTGTTAAATTGTCGCCAGAAGATGATGGGTTATCATGCGTACTGGCATTGTTTGCTTCGAATCCTTCTTTATCCACTCATTTTTCACCTATTGTCTTATTTGCTAATTGTTCTGCTTCCGTCATTTCGTGGGTTACTTTTCTGCAAGCTGTCAGCGTGTTCTCGCTAAAATTCTGTAGTCTATATTTCTGTTTTGAATTTTGGTTTTGTTTTTACATGAAAACACAGTTTAGAATGGGACTAGGTCAAAAGATTGATCTTAAAATGCGATTTTGGTGATTTAAATTTATCATGTTAGAAAGAAATGGGTGATGTTATGATTTCAGAATTCTTGATGAAGAAGAGATGTATGAAAAAGGTGGTCCATTTACTCTTGGTCAATTATGTGCAATTGCAAAATTCTGCAATCTGTTTTGTTTTCGCGTTATTTGGAATTCTTATGTTGGTTAGTAATTCATTTCACTTTAATGATTTAAATGTTTCCACTTTGTCACATTATAGAATCTATATTTTTTAGAGTTTTACGCATTTTTTAGAGCTGAAATATATTTTGTCTTCCCCTTTGTTTACATCAATTTATCAACTCTGCATGTTGTTATACAATCGAGATTGCCGAAGAGATTTCACCGCCAAGGAATATAAATTTTGGATTGCACCGTAAGTTTATATTAGAAGTTTGAAACTAAAAAACTCATGTTGATCATCATTCTTTTAAAAATCAGAACATCTCTCATTTTTTTAGGGATGTAAAAAGCTCCATAATAATGAATGAATTCGAAAAAAAAACTGAGCGAGCTCTTTTTTTGATGTCTCATATGAGCCATGTAGTGCCGTTATATGATCGAATAATTTTATTCAGGTAAAAACTACACTTATTGGGATTTCTCTAAATTTATTTGATCGGGAGCATGGTTTATAAGCTTTAAAAGTAATCATTCATGTTTATGTCTTCTGTAAGAATGTTTATATTTTTGAACGCGAGGTAATTTTCTGGATAGCAAGATATGTGCTTTATTTAATGCGCAGCGGTTTAAACAATCTCTTCGTTTTATTAAAGAGGGAAATTTTGGAATCATGAGACGTATTGCAGTTAGAAGTAGAACCCTCTTTGATTTGACATGACAAAGAACTTCCCAATTTCATTATCTTAGGAAATATATTGCATCAGAAAAACAAAATTTGGAAGGCACTCCAAGTACGATGATAACAGTGGAAAGAAACAAGTTACTGGATGACGGTTATCGTCAATTATCATTGTTGTCACCCTCTGCTCTTAAAGCAACTATTCGTGTGAAGTTTATAAACCAACAGGTTTATAAAAAATATTTGTTCACTATTGTTGATAAAATTTTAATATGCCTTCTTCGTTCTCGTATCGATTTTCCAAAAAAATTTTCAGGGAAACAGACCAATTTTTAGGGTTTAGATGAAGCAGGTATCGATCAAGATGGAGTCTTCAAGGAATTTTTGGAACTAACACTGAAGCATGTCTTTAATCCTGATCTTAATCTGTTTAAGGTAATATCAAATCTTATTTTTTAATTATCTGTAATTTATTCCAATGAAATCGAGCTTAACTAAAGATCCTTTTAGTGTTCGCCAAATCGACTGCTTTTTCCTTCACCAACATCAGATTTACATGAGAATCACCTGGCACTTTTTGAGTTTGTCGGTCGAATGTTAGCCAAGGCCGTGTATGAGGTAACATGGTTGTATGCGCTTAATGAGAGGAAGTAGTTGATGCTTTGAACTGTTCATTATTCATTTTAATCAAATTTTAATTTACATTAGTTGATCATCATTTAGGGTATCGTGACCGAAGTTCATTTAGCACCTGTATTATTAGCAACCGTATTAGGTCGTAAACTATGTGCATTTGACGAATTATCGCAGTTAGATCCAGATTTGTACAAAAGTCTTACATATATAAAACACTATTCGGATTCGGATGTTGCTGATTTATCTCTAACCTTTTCGATTGATGAGGATGTCTTAGGATGTATTCACACTATTGATCTAATACCAGGAGGGCGTGCAATTCAAGTTACAAATGACAACAAGTAGGTTTCTGATGGTGTTTCATAATTATCCTTCTCGCACTCATGAATTTTGTTTAGGCTTCCTTCAAAGTTTCTCCATTCTGTTCAAGTAATTTTTATTTTTTTTACCGTTCTCAGAACTTAATATCAGGATAGCTTATGTGCATAAAATGGCTCAGTATCGTGTATTTAACCAAACAAAAGAACAATGTCGTGCTTTCGTATCAGGCTTTCTGTCGGTATTAAATAGCAATTGGCTTTCGTTATTTGCGCCACAAGAACTTCAGTATTTGATTTCAGGAGTGGCTACGTAAGTTACAAGCGTTAAATGTAAATATCTACCGCAGTTTTTAAAAAAAACAGCAAAGAGAGTATCTTGAAAGCAAGATTTAAAAAAAAAAGTTGTAATCTATTTCTGATGAAATTTTAATCCAGTATTTCATTTTCTAATACCTCAAAATAGTTTTTCGGTTTAGTGATATCGATTTACGCGATCTTC